GGTCCTGAAGGACTTGACAGTTTACACGGTGCTTTCACAAGGCAGAGAATGCCGTGACCATTTCACAGAAAAGGAAGTAGAAGCTCCATAGGGCTGAGTGATTTGTCCAGGATCACACATCAGGGAGAGAAATCCGGGCCCAAATCCAAGTCCTTCCCGTCCGCAGCCCTGCCTCTTGCAGAAGTATGGGCAGCTCAGGGCACCTCCTGGAACACCCTGGAATGGGCGCGCTGGCACTGCGGACACCCCGGGATCAGATACAACTGTAGATAGGTACCTGGCTTAAAATGAATGCCAGTCATATTCTGACCACCAAGAGCACGTCTCCCCTTCTCCCATGCCTCCACACTGCTCATCTGAAGAGGGAGCATGAGAAGGGACGTCTAGTGGGAAGTGGGAAGGCATTATTGTTTGGGGGTTGAGAAATCACACATTGCTCCCATGAAGTGAGAGTCTTTTTTTTTTTTTTCTTCTTGAAAGCCACTTGAACTTTGTCACTGCAGTTAAACTTATCTCTTCTTGTGTTTGCTTAGCTTGTGGGCAGGGGATATCATAACTCTCTCCTAATTTTATGGAAAGCTACTTACAAGTGTTAGATTTTGAAATGGCCACTAACCTTCTTGGCCCCAAGACTCACTAAAAAATAATGGGGGGTAGGGGTCAAAAGAGGCCATTGCCAATTGCCTGAGAAGGCCCTCTCTGGGATCTTGGGGAGAGAGGAGGTCCTTGCCTCATGTCTGTCAGGCTCTTTGCTCCAAAAGCTGGTGGGTCTTCGCTGTTGTGCCAGTCCATTGACCAGCCTCTGAGTGAATCACGCCCAGGTGCTGCCTGGACTGGGTAGGCAAGAAGTACAGAGGCAGGCAGAAGGGTCTGGAAAGAGTCAGCTCTCAGATACCAGAAAAGGAGTTCCTATCCCAGGCTTCCTGACAGGGCTCTGGGATGGGTGCTAACTTCCTCTAAGGAGAAAAATTCATGACCTTCCTTCCTGCTCTCCACCTTGGAGCCCAGAGAACAGCACTATGGGGTGTGTCATTTGACATCTGTGGTTAAGGGGAGTGGGTCTAGATGTAGACCCAGGTATACCTTTATCTGAGGAGAGATGCTGGGCAGCCAGTGGTGGCACAAGAGCGCATGGTGTATCCAAGGCACTGCCAGGAGATCCTCCCAGATGGAACACTTAATGGCTGGGGGATGGGGGTTTAAATGGCCTCATCATTGCCATTTTCTTAGTGGTTATTTCATTGGCTTTAGACTACAGAGCTCCTATGCTCCCCACTGCTGCAAATTTTTACTGATTTACTCCTTGATAAGTGTTTGAAAAGTTCTTTGGGTAGGTGGCAGGTGAGGTGGGGTGGGTGGGGTTTCAAGCATGACTTGAATTTAGTCCAGCACTCAGTCACTATGGCCATTAGACAGACACACACTAGCTGTTAGCCAGTTGCTATTAGCCTACGTCATGCAGATGCCATCTCAGACCACATGGCACTCTGGGATTTGGATAAAATCAGATTAATTTCCCCCAAACCCCTCGCTAAGATTTCTGGGGATCCTTGGAGGGACTGTACTCCCATAGACACTCTACTCTCTGATACAGACAGTCCCTGACCTATGTTCATCTTGGGAGGTTTTGAGTTTACAATGGTGTGAAAGTGATACTGATTCAATAGAACCCGTACTTTGTGACTTTTGATGCTTTCCCAGGCTGGTGATATGCTGTACGATCGTCTCTTGTGATGCTGGGCTGCAACAAAGAGCCTTGGCTCCATCAGTCATGGGATCACAAGAGTAAAACAATCCATACACTAACAGCCATTCTGTACCCAGGCAAACTTTTCTGTTTTTCACTTTCAGTACAGTAGTCAATAAAATACATGAGATATTCAATACTATATCATATAATAGGCTTTGTGTTAGATGATTTTGCCCAGCTGTAGGCTAATGTAAGTATCCCAAGTACATGTAAGGTGGGCTGGGCTAAGCTACGATGTTCAGCAGGTCAGGTGGATTAGACACATTTTTAGCTCACAATGGGTTTGTTGGAATGTGACACCATCGTAAGTTGAGGAAGTTCTATACTGTTTCAACTCCAGCACATCAATCTGGAAATGAAGCTCAGCCCTTCATCATTTTCTATTTGCACATGTATTGATTTATGAATTACAATTTACTGAAGCATTTGAGATAGCTGGGGAGAGAATTAAAAAAAATGGATAGAGATTCATTTTGTGGCCAATAAGCAGCTTCAAATTCAACATTAGTTTTCCTGGAAGCCCTTAGTGCCTCACTGTCACTGGGGGTGTCTTTGTGACCCATCACCCCATACCCACTCAGTGGTTCCCCCTCCTTTTGGCCTGCTGCACTGTTCTTTCCTTTCCCTGATGTCCAGGTGGAGAAAGAAGACACAACCAAGCCTCTCCCTGGGTCCTGCACAACCCAGAAGTCCTTCCCCATCACTATCTTAGCCCTGGTTGACCACAGACCGTAGGTTTCACTCACTCTCTCCCAAGCAGCTTCTTTAGCCATTCACACATACACACACACACACACACACACACACACACACACACACACACACAGTTCATATCAGAGAGGAATTCTGATGCTAATTCTCAAGACACTGGATTTTTGACTTCCTTACATATACATATATAAAATAAAAAATCATTGTCCCACACGGAGGAGATTAGGGTCTACTATGGGCACCCTCAATACAATAAGACATATATAAAGGTACATAATCAAGGTTCAGAACAAGATGAGAGGATGTGCCCATCACCCTGTGAGCCACTCTCACTGCCAGCTAGGTGCAAGGGCATTTGAGGTAGCTAAAAATGCCTGTGAGTTCTGGACATACAAGCCTGCTTAGTGTTCGCCAGGGACCATCCTGACCTGTGGCCTGGAAAGCACTTTGTGTCCTGGGCACTGTCAGAGGAGGAGGACTGAGCAGAGAGGGCAGAGGTGAGCACCTCTCTGAGCTGGAGGGAAAGGTTGACTGGTGTTAGGATCCACATGATGGCAGGCAACCAGTGCCCTCTGCACATGCCACTCAGAAGGGAGTGATCTCTCCACAGAAGGGAGGAGGACTTTGACATTGAGCACATGGGTGGATGAGAGGACTTCTCAGGTACTTTGCCGGATCACCATGTCTCAGATTCTGGAGGTTTGGGAGAGGATGTGTGAGGGAGTTGGAAATAACGGAGTGCGCCTCTACTGCGGGCTGACGCACTTGCACGGGTGCCGTGCTCCTCCTTAGGTTTGTCTTCCTGCGTCCTTGGCATGAACCTTCATCCACTCACCTGTCCCCTGACTCATCTACAACCAGAACCTGAGGGCTGCTGGGTCTCCAGAGCAGACCCCCAGGAGCCCAGAGTTGGCAGGTGGGTAAGTGAGCATGTAGGCTTCCGGGGGATTGTGCTGCAGATGAGAACAGACAGGATCTCCTGGCAGGGGAGAGCACTTCCAGGAAACAGAGGACTCTGGCTGTGATCTCCCTGGTGCAGGCTGGAATGGCAGAGTAGATTCTCCTGGTGCAGGAGAAGGAGAAAGAATGGGCAGGGATGGGAAGACAGTGGCTGGCCCTGGGGTCTGGGGTCACATGTTGCCAGCCCTGTTCACCTCCTCTCACACTGGAGATTCATCTAGGCATACATGCCCGGTTAGACACACACACACACACACACACACACACACACACACACACCCTGATCCTGGCTGCCCAGCCCCAGGGTTTCAGTGATTTGAGGGGATAATGGGCCAACCCGACTACTCCATGTTTCTTATTTTCCTTTAACAAGAAGATCCATGGCCTCATTATCCTTTGATGGTTTTCATTTGCTGACTCATCATGAATTGGACGCTTGCTATGTGCCGGGTATTGGGAATACCAAGGAAGAAATGAAAAAGAATACATAGAGAAATAATCCCAGTAGGATTTGGATGATAGGTATTTGTGAAGTGCTCCAGGAGCCCAGATGGTTTATAGAGGAGGTGAACAGGTGGAGGTGAAGGATGGGCAGAGTCTCATCGGGAAAGCAAACCCGGGCATGGGCGCCCCGACACCTTCAGCTGTCAATATGTACAGCCCAGCACGTACTACCTGCTTTCTTTCTCCTACCTCATCTCTGCCTAATAAAGTGCATCTCAATTTCCATACACCCCATTTCAATGGTTCCCATCTGCCCTTCAGTACGTAGTACTTTGACATCTTTAAACGAAGACTGATGTGGATTATGCAGAGCTTACAATTATCAAGAGGATTACCAGAATACAAAATAGCTCTAGGAGTTTATGACAACTTTGTAAAAATTAAGTTTGTGTAATGATAAAAATGGAAGAGATCATAAGGTTATGTAAATAAGATGAAGGTTTTTTGTTCCTTTTTTATTATTATTAGAGAGAGAGGGGGCACAAGTGAGTGAGGGTGGAGAGAGGGACAAAGAGAAGTGAGGCCAGAGGTGAGATTCAAGCTCACGAATCCTGAGATCGTGACCTGAACCAAAGTCAGATGCTTAATGACTGAGCCACCCAGACGCCCAATAAGGTGAAGTTCTGAGTTTAAAGGGGTTCTTCAGTATTTTTCTGTGTATCTACATCTCAACACACGCGCATGTATATGCACACACTTACACACATATGCACACATACCTGTGCATGCAGGAACATATATGTGTGTACATATATGTAAGCATACATATACACACAAATTTACATTTCATGGAGGATTAGCACATTAAAGTCGTGGGGACTTAGGGCTTTGCACTTGACTGACCTCCACTAATGTTTGCTGAATTAGAGCAAACCACTGCTGTGCCCATCCTGGTTTTTTTATCGTTGACCATTGCTCCTAGCAGTTAATGTTTGAACCTGGCCATAAAGGAGTCGACAGCTGCTGACCTATGGCCAACATTCGAAGCGGAAGGAGCCCCCTATAAATCAGCCCACACTGGACATCGCAGCCCACAGAGCTGCAGATCAGCTGTGGAGGGAGCCTCATCGCCACCATGAACTTCTCCGGCAAGTACCAACTACAGAGCCAGGAAAACTTTGAGGCCTTCATGAAGGCAGTCGGTAAGTGCTGGGCGGGACGCCAAGGCTGGGGGTCATGGCGATGAGGGTCTGGCCCTGCCAGGGGTAGCGAATCAGAGTCTCGATGCTGGGATGGGAGGAAAGTTTCAGGCTCTGCACAGGCCAGAGGCCATGTCGTGCATCCTCTGCAGATATCTGTGGCTTGTGCTAGTATCACTCACTGGACGAGGCTACTTCATAGGCAAGTGGAAAGCACCGAGCTAGGGGCTGATCTGGATCGAAGCAATCTCTGCTGGTACCTCACTGTGTGAGCCTGCTTATTCATTCATTCATTCATTCTTCTAACATCGATTCAACTCCAATCATATGCCGTGTTGGATGGATACCAGGGAGACAGATAACAATGAGCCACATTTCCAAGTCACAGTTTACAGACAGACAAAGAGACGAGATAGATGCAATAAAGTATCCCCTGATGTGTACTGAGCACTGACTCACTGCCAGGCACCGTGCTAGGCCCTTCACATGTAATAAATCCTCACCACAAATCTCTAAGTTGGGTACTAGTGTTTTTCCCATTTCACAGTCAAGACAACTGAGGCCTAAGAAGGTTAAGTGATCCTGACCAAGTTCACACAGGCAGGAGTGTCTGCCTTGGGATTTGAAGTAGAGGCTGGTTCCAGAGACCCAACTCTCATCCCCTGTGACTCCCAGAGTCATGTGCAGAAGGATGAGGTGCTCGCGGGAGGGCATGGATGGAAGGCTTGGTGGTGGTGAAGGTGAGCCTAGGCTGGGCCTTGGAAGATGAGCGAATGTCCCCTAGGGGACAGGGAGAGGGGAATGTGCTCCAGGTAGCGGGAACCCTCTGAATAAAGGGTCGATGTGCCAAAGAAGGGTGCCCAGGAGGGACAGGGTGGGGAAGACGGAAGGCAGGAGAGGAGGACCCTCAGGGATAGGCAAGGCTCTTCTCCTATAGGGTGTCATATCATCTCTCTTTCGAATCCTTTACCTGGGCCATAGGACACTCCACCCCCACTGACACTGCACGTGGATCTCAATTTGTTTAACAGTATAGATATGGCCTGAAATTTGTGAAGCTCTGTCCCAGGGTGAGGGACTCCCACTGTGCCTTCCTCAAGAGCCTCGACAGCAGAGACTGAGGCAGGGGTAGGGGAAGGAGGCTTTGTGGACACAACCCCAGCTTGTGAGTGTTGCCCCGGCACCTTATTCGTAGCTGCTCCTCTCACTCTCAGTAGGGACCTGGCTCAGAAAACGAACCGTGCGGTCAGTCTGGGTGTGAATGGCACGCTGACACTCAGAGAGCAAAGTCTGGCGTGAGGAGGGAGAGCGAGCGAGAACCAGGGTGCTCACCAGAGGACAGGTTCTGCGGGACCCAGGAGTGTCCTCTTTACAACCCTCCTGGCAAAACAGCAGACCTCCAGGTCAGACCACCAACCTTTCCCTTCAGAGGTCAGCCCATGTTGCTCACAGGACTTGGTTCGTGCCTGCGGTCTCTGGGGGGGCACGGCGCCTCCCCCCCTGCCCCGCGCCACAAAGTTTCTCTGTGACCGTCGCCTGGCAATCCCCACCTCTGCTCATCTCTGAACCTCACATGGTTTCCACCAGGTCTGCCTGACGAACTCATCCAGAAGGGGAAGGACATCAAGGGGGTGTCGGAGATCGTGCAGAACGGGAAGCACTTCAAACTCACCATCACCACGGGGTCCAAAGTGATCCAAAATGAGTTCACTTTGGGGGAGGAGTGTGAGCTGGAGACCATGACTGGGGAGAAGGTCAAGGTAGGAGGTGCCCCCTCGAGCCACCTTCTGGTTCTGGAACTTTCCTTGGAACCTGGCCGCAGGGCTTCATCCAACCAGGGTCTCACCTCACAGTCCCCACCATGGATACCTTATCTCCGAACCCACTTCTGGGCTGGGAGGCAGAAAGACAAGATAGCTCTAGGGAAGAAACTCTAAGGAAACCCTTCCTGTTTTCCTGTGACTGTGTGGGTGCTCTGACCCAAGAACCCGAGCTCTCCCATGTGGAGGATATGGGGGGACCAGTCACAAGTTCTCCCAGGCCCAGACAAGCAGGAGTCAGCGAAAAACCCTAAGCAGAGCTGTGATGTCATCCCTGAGCCCAAAAGAAACTGGCCTTGCTGAGCCTAGAGCTGCTGGTCATGGGGAGAGACTTCCTGGAGGAGGGGCTGGCAATATCAAGAATACCAGAATACCAAGACCCCAGGCAGGCCCTCAGACTGAGTCCGAGCCCCTGGCCTCAGCTACCTCATCTGTAAAATGGGCACAGACACCCTTCCCTGACTGAAGGCAGTGGGCAGGGCACCATCATTCCGCTGGGCTGTGGCTCAGGGTGTACAGTAAGAGCTAGGTGTAGACTATGGGAGTGGTCAGAAGGAGATGGCAGAGAAATCCAGAGGGCAGGAGGCTCCTCACTAGAGACCTCTCTTCCTCCCTGGGAAAGTCCACACACCCCAGCACAGCCAACGCCACAGAGCAGCCATCTTTACCCTTCCCCTCCAGACAACTGAGGCATCGGCCTCAGCATGCTGGCCTTTTTACCTCTTCTGATGGCCTCTTATTTCCGCTTCTCCAGATATAACATCACAGCTCAGGAAATCTGTAACAGGAAATTGTCTTGAGAGGCCCATAGTAAGGGGCAAGCCCTTACGGGTTTTACCACAGTGTCTTTTTTTTTTTTTTTTTTTT